TTCATTCATTCATTCATTCATTCTAGCTGGATTCTGAAGAGTACTGAAGGGGGCTGTCACAAAAAGTAATGAGACCAGGACCCCACAGGGATAGGTATACATATACTTTATTGTTATGGCATCAAGCCATACATAAGACAAAACTGAATGCAGAACTTCAAGAATTGGCATAAACTGCAAAAAGCCAGACCAGACAAACAAGAAGTAAAATATCTGAAACAACAAATATGGCAATATAAAACCAGGGTCTAAGGGTTTGGCTGTCTATTCTGGCTATAAATGGCTTGCTGCCCAAAATTTCGCTACCAGCTCCGGAGTAGTCTGATTTTGATCAATTAACAATTGGTTACAGTAATCTGAGTCCGATTGACCTACCGTATCTTTTAGGAGAGGTGTAATATATTTTCATTGGATCTTGTTGTGCCTGTTACATCTGAGCATCACATGTTCGATAGATTCTATCTCGTCAGATCCACAAGGGCAGAGTCTCTGTTCCCTCAGGATCTTCTTAAATCTACCTTCCAACACCACAGAAGGAAAAGCCTCACATCTAGCCAGAGTAAAGGCTTTCCTAAACATATGCATCTCAAGCTGTGATGGATAGGCCATGGGGAGCGGGCGATATTTGTGCATGTCTGTCACTCTAAAATTGGGGTATACAGTATACTGAAATCTACCTGTCTCTCCATGTCCATTAATCTCTGTTTAAGGCAGGGGTATCCAACCTTTCACCTTCCCTGGGCCACATTAGAAGAAGAAAATTTGGTTTGGGCTGCACATAAATTTGGTTTGGGTTGCATGGGGGGGGCAGCCCTAGCCGTCCTCTGCAGCCCCGCTCCAAGCGCGTTTACCGGCAGCTGTGATCTCAGACAGCAGAAGCTGCCAGCTTCGACTCCGGCGGCTTTATGGGGCCGGGAGGGCGTCCACCTATTGTCAGGGATGGTGCAATGCAGTCTCTCCTCCCCTACCGTTGTGACGTGCCCCGGCTGCATTCTGGCCGCAAGCGTCGGCAGTGTAACTTGAAACTTTGAAATTTCTTTAAAAACAAAACAATTGCACTGGGCCGCATTACGAGCCGACCTGGGCCACATACGGCCCATGGGCCACAGGTTGGACAAGCCTGGTTTAAGAGCTGATTTCGCTTCATCCCATTTCATGCTCAATATTGCTTGAGGAGAGAAGCCCATAACTTCCAATTTATTTAGGACCGCTTTTAACCACTTCGATTGAAAATTGTCCTCTAAAAGTAGATGGGTTAATTCCTGTAATTGAAAATTTATTTTAAGCCAGTACTGAAGGGAGGCTAGTGTGATTTTGGTAACCATTCTTAGTAAGCCTGTCTCTAGACGAATTCATGCATTCAGTACGCATCTTGGAATTTCAAGGATTGCTCTAAGGAATTTAGACTGAACCCGCTCTGTCGGGTGAAAGCGACTGGATGGAGGCCCCATAAAGGTGCCATAAAGCATCTGGCTGACCACCTTTGCCTGAAAGAGTTTTTAGGCTGCTGGAATATATTTCCCCTCTTTGGAACGGTAGAACCTTAAGATGGCATTTGCTGTTTTTCTCCTTGGGTAGCTGCATATTGTATATGGGCATTTCTGTCCCCAGTGGATTGAAGGGCCATGCCTAGATATTTAAAGCAGGAAACCTGTTCAAGAGACTGTCCATTTATAATCCAAGACCTTTTTTTTTTGTCTTCAGCCAAAGGCCATAATTTTGGTCTTTTGATAGTTTATTTCTAATCCCTTCATTTTGCAGAAGTCTGCAAATTTCTTAAGGGCTCTCTTCAGGCCGATTGGCATTCTCGCTAGAAGCACAGCATCATCTGCATAAAGAAGGATAGGAATATGTCTTTGATGGAATTTTGGAGAATAGAGACTAGGAGAGTTCAGGTGTTCTACTATGTCATTTATGTATAAACAGTGAGGAGCCTGTAAGCAGCCCTGTCTTACTCCTTTATAGGTGTTAATTGGTTCTAAATTTACACACACACACACACACACACACACACACACACACACACACACACACACACAAACCAAAGGACACTAGAAGCATTTGAAATTGAAAACCATGTGTATTTCATAGTGAAAACCAAAACAAAGTTAAAAAGTGATAGAAGGGAATGGTTTAGAAACGTGAAAAATACAATACATCTGTATGGAAATAGGAAGTCACTCCAGGATATAATTGGAGGGAAATGAGCAAAAAAGAAGATCTAAGTGCATAGAACAAATGAGGTATGTGTATGTTGAGATACATGTACCTGAAAAGACCTCTCAACATGAAAAATAGGGGAGAGGTTTTGAATATTGAAATCTGTGACAGAAAGAAGGATTTACAAGATTTCATCTCATTTAGACATGTGGATTGTGAAGATGAACAAGATTAGTAATAATAGAATAATAGATTAATGTATAGAGTGAACTAAATGTACAACTTAAAAGGGAATATGATCAGGTCCCGAAATCTTCTCATTCAAATAAACTTCTTTTCTATGTTATATCATTTTTGTTTCATATTCACGTTCTGTAAAAGGTTTTGTAGATTCATTTTGGTATGGGAGAATTTATGTAGCACTAACTTAAGGGTTCTGGTAAGGTGTTTTGGATATTTGAGAAGTTTATTAAGTTTGATTTGTGTCTCTATATTTCATAAAGATTTTCCAGTGTTTTTTGTGCATCTCATTTGATAATGCACTACCTTAGTCAAAATTTACTGCATTACTTTTTGTGTATTCCAATTACTTTTCATATAATGTGTTTGTTAGGAAAAACAGAACAGAAATCAGTAGGTTCACTTGCACCCTAAATCTCCAGTTCATGATTTCTTTAATAGTCAAAAGAAGAATAAGCTGCAGTTACGTGGCTGATGGTAGTGTTGTTTTTTGTAAACAGTTCTTTCAACATTGTGCTTCACAGAATCCTATATATAAAGTAAATATGCACAATTATACAGAAATCAGATATATAGCAGAATGTTTCTCTAGTAGCTGTGTTAATGTGTTTTGTAATGAGCTCTGTAAAAAGAGCCCACTCCCAGCTTTGACCAGGAGACCTGATATAGTGTGAAATACGCCTGATTCTCTCTCTCTCTCTCTCTCTCTCTCTCTCTCTCTGTATGTATTTGTGTCTGTGTGAGGGGGGGGCACAGGTAACAGAGAACACACATATTTGGACATGTGTACCTTAGTTCAGAGATAGGCTGGACAAACCACTAAAAAGATTTCAATCTTAAATTTCATTCTGGTATTGGTTACAAATTTTTGTTCCTTAATTTTTAGTATATGATCACCTACCCAAGATACCATTTTTCAAATAGCTTGAGTCAAAGAAAATGAAGTAGTCCCTGCAAACTTCACATTATCTTGTTTCTGCACTAGCTTCCTGGATCTAGAGCTTGTTGCTGACATTGTAGTGCAATTTTCAGTGACTGCTTTTCTACTGCAGCTCATTCGCACACATCATCCAGATCTGGTCTGGAACTGTGGGATTCTTTGGAATAGATTTCTGTATTGCTGGGGGGAAATGCAGGGGGAATTATCCAAACTCACAACTTCACCTCTTCAGCTGGTGCATGCCTTCAATTAGGAGTTACCACAATTGGCTACAACCTCAAAGTATGCAAGGTTCTAATATACTGACATTTCATACAGTATGTTGTATGCTCACCTGGCATATGTGGTCAGTTTATATAACACACAGCTGCTAAAATCTGATGTGTGGTCCACTTTAAACTGTCAGTCAGTTTCAATGCAGAGCTTGTCTTCTCAGGAAAATATAGAATTCAAATGCTAGAATCCAATACCTGCTTCCTTTTTGTGCTTGTACAATATGCTTTCAGAACTACAGCGATAGTTCAGGAGAACATAACTTTCCCCGATCTTAACAGTTTACTGTGATACAGTATATGTTACTCAGATAGTGCTCTGTGTGTAGATCTTCCTTTCTTAAAGTATCTTTTTCTGCAACTCTTAATTCAATGGAATTTCAACTTTAAAAAATTTGTCTGTAGTGTAGTTTATTGAGCAAAATTCTTTTAGCAAATGTGGAGAATAACAGCTGTGTGGGAAGAGTAGTCTGCATGATCTCCAGATTGCAGTTTCACAAGCTATACATCACTCTGTTGAAAGCAAAAGAGCTTCTGTTTGTGTGAGGGGTTTGTGAATGCCCCCTTGCACAATTACAAAATAAAATGAAATAAAAACCCACCATGTATTACAAAATAAAATAAAATAAAATAAAAACCCACCATGTGTGCAAAGAACCCTTGTGTACATGGAAAAAACACATAGGATTGGAGTCTTTATATTTCATTATGCTATGAAACACTGTGGAGTCTTTGCCTGGAAGTGTAAAAAAATAGATATATGATAGACGTTAGAAATATATTAAATATACGAAGCTGGTTGGATAGCTCAGTAGTTTAGGTATGTAACTGTGGAGCCAGAGGTTGGGAGTGATTCCCCACTCTGCCTCCAGAGAGAAGAGCCAGCCTGTGTGACCTTGG